CACGTCCCACAGGTGGGGTGGGGGCGGGGCTCGGCGTGCAGAGCAGGAAGGCTGCTGCCTGTCATCACAGAGGACATTCCAGTTGTGCAGGAAGAACGCACTCCCAAGGCCTACCACCTCATGACTTTGATTTCTGCAGCGTCAGCCCTCACAGGGTCAGCGTGATGAGGTGGAAAGAACAGGGGCATTGGAGGGAAGCAGATGTGAACTTGAATCCTGGCACTCCCACCCAGGGCTACGAAGCGGGGTGGCGGCTTTTTTTTTTATTGGACTGTTTCCTCACCCAGGAAAGGAGGCAGGTACATTTCACCTTCTCGGGCTGCTGGGAGGATCCATTCCCCGGAGGTGCTGAAACGCCCAATGGAGAGTTCATGCTCTTTGCTCCTTCAAATCCTCCCTCTCCCCAAGGAGAACTGTTCTGCTCTCAGGAATCAGAAATGGAGGGTACAACATCATCAGGAGCAACATTCAAATTGCAAGGCAATTATTTTCCAGCAAGGTCTTTCTATAGCCTGTACAGATGCATAAAAATTCACTGCTCATTGGTATACTAAAAGATCTTCTCCTGAAATTCTTGAAAGAGCCAATTTCCAGGTTTCAGTCTGGGCTTACACTGGCCCTGACATGGTCCCATCTCAGTTTTCCCATCTGTGCTAAGAGAGTAACTTTACACTCCACACAGGATGGTCTGAGGACCAAATGGCATCGGTGTGCGTCCACTCTGTAAAGGGTAAACGCTGTGCAAACCCTTGCAGCTGAATGTTGTGGAAAGAACACAAACTTGAAGTCAGAGAAACCTGGCCTGAAATGTCAGATTAAGTGGGCAAGCCTCTGCCTCTTCGAGCCTTCCCGCTCTCTCAAGTGAGGGAGATAACAGTGCGCCCCGGCCCGGGTAGCAGGGAAATGTCCTGAGAACCCCTTGCCTGAGGGCTGCGCCTTACTCAGTGAGTCCCAGGGTCTGAGGACTTCACTTGAGGGTCAGTGCTGGTGCCTGGGCCTTGCCCAGCTCCCTCCCCCTGATCTGCCATGGAGTGGTGACCTAATGTGAGACCCCTTCCAGCCTGCAGCCTGGGCAGGTTCCCTCTTCAGACCCCGGAACCCCCAGTTCTCAGGGTTATGAAGGACCCAACAAGAGAAAGGGTGGTGTGCTGCCCAGAGCCCACACCCAGCAGCCCCTTGGGGAATACTCCTTCTCTGTTAGAAGCCCTCTCCAGGCCTCCCAGGCTGCCTCCACCACCTTGCTTCTGGGAGCTATCAACTCCGGAAGTGAGAGCCTTGCAGCTTTAAGAAGTTTCAGGGCAATTTTATTCTCTAGGAGAGAGGTGGAACAGCCCCTCCCATCTCTAGGAGGGAAGAGGGGAACCAAAGGCCTGTTTAATTTAATTTAACGCACTGTAGCTTGCCAGGTTGCCCCTGGTAACAGCCTCAGCTGCTGCTTTAGTTACAACCGGAAGGATTTTTAAAGAGACAGCCCATTTTCCGGCCAGGAGCGTATGGCAGAGGGCATGGTGCCCACCAGCTTCATCACGGGGTTAGAGGATTAAAGCTCATGGCAGGAGAGGCCTCAGGCTAGATCTGTTTGGGCCACTCACTCCAATCCGAATCTGCAACCCCATAAGCCCTCTTGCAAATGTCACTCTTTGGCAGAATCTGAGGAGGGACTACGTTTGGGATTTGTCACAGAGAGGTCACTCAGCTAGCGACTTTTCTGAAAATCTGTCTTAGCCTTCAAGTTGAAGGGAACCAGGAGATTGGAGTTACCCCTGCAATTCAGGTATATCGCCACCAGGTGGTAGTATTGCCCGCGTAGTGCAAACCACAACCAGGCTCTTGAATTACTCAAGGATACCAATGGGTTTTTAGCCCTGATACTAACTAGCGTGTTACTGGATAAGTTGCTTCACCTCTGCGGTCTCGGTGTTCTCAGAGGGAGAATGAGAGTGATCAAGGAAACAGTGCTGAGGACAAGGCTTGGGGCTAGGATGATGAAGGCATGATTGGGGTGTCAGCTCTGTCTGGTACTAGCTGTGATTTGGGCACATAGCTTACTTTCTTGTGGCTTAAATGCCAAACAAGAGGAACAGGGAGATCCCTAAGGATACCACGTGACTCTCCAACACTGGGGGTCTGTGAAGGGGAGAAAGGTGCATGGGACCCCCACAGGGAATCCGAGGCGGTAGTAGCACAGTGGGTGGGTGGGGGGTGCAGTGGAGAGCAGGGTGATCCAGGACCCCTCTGGGATCCTGAGAGGTCATTGCCCCGGAGGGATATGAAATGAGCCCAATGGACAGTGCAGCCTCCTGGACTCCCCCAAGCCTGCTCAGCTCTAACCCAAGCTAGGAGAAAGGGGTCCGACACTTAAGGAGCGTGTACTCTGGGCTGGACACTGCCTGCACAATGCCTGCGAGTTCCATATTGTTACCCCTTTGCAGATAAGGACACAGCCTCCGAGAGGTAACTCATCTGTCCGGGGTCACCTGCCTCACATGGCCAGGTCTGTCGGCCGCCTGAGCCTCTGCTCGCACTCATGGCCATACCTCCCTGTCGGAAGGCTGAACGAGGCAGCAGGTTCCGTTTCTCCCCACCAGGACTCAGCTTGGCCAACCTCAAAGTGGGCATGTGGCCAGAGGTCACGAGATCATCCCTCTAGACAACCAGGAAGCCTGAGGCACTTCACACAATCACACACTGACATTACGTCCCAGTCTTTGGCCAGTGTGGCCCACGGTAGTGGCCCCATGACTCTGAGTCCCCCTTCCTATGTCCCAGGTGCCGTATAGGTAGAGCAGGTACGGTTATCCAGCAGCCCATCCTAGGCTTTTGCTTTAGCAAATGTTCCCCACTGAAGCCTTCTGCCGTTGGCAACTGCCGCCCTCCACGCCGGACAGCCCTGTTCCCAGCCAAAGCCCCATGTGTGTATTCCCACCTATGTGACAGGAGGACTGTCCAAAGTGGTATGAGTGTAAAACACACTGGATCTGGGCACTGCCCTTTCTATGGCTTCCCACTGCCCTGCACAAGAATCCCCGGGCCTGAGCCAGGCACTTGGGGGCCCCTCCTGATGTCCCCCTCTGGCTCATTCTCCCGCCCCTTACAACACGCCATGCTCCCTCACCTCCAACTGAGCTTAGGCACACGATGTTCCTCCATCTGCTCTCTTCTCTCATGGTGTCCACCTGGATGGTTCCTCCTTGTCCTGGAGAAGCCTGCTCCAGCAAGCCCTCCTCTAGAAGCTCTGTGGGCACTCCTGTATCGTGCAGGGTACTTCCTCCCATAACCCCTGGCTTTCCTTCCGCTCGCACTGTGATATGATCAGGATTTCGCCCCAGACTGGGAGCTCCTAAAGGTGGGACCAGCCTGGGCCAAACAGAGAAGGTACTTGGTGAATAGTGGCTAAGAAATGTGCTTAGAAGGGACTCTTCTGGGGGCTCTGGCCTGAACCTGGGTCAAGACCCTGCCTCGATGGGCAGTCACACCTCTCAGTGCAACTGGACTCACAGGACCCCCTTTCTCTCTTCTCCCTCCAAGCTCATCCACAGTCTCCCCAGACCACCTGCGGCATAACTTGTGGACATTTGCTCCCCACCACGCCCCACTCACACATTCCATGCTCCATGCTCACCAGGTGCACCCTGTGTCTCCACACTAACCCTTCATCCGGAATGTCCTTGGCCCCCTCCCCACCCTCTGAAATACCACTGCTCTTCAAGACTCACCTGACAGCAGGACCTTCCTCCACAAGACCTTCTTAGAGTCTTTTGGCTGGGAGTGGCCTCCCCATCCTACTGCATCTTCCCACATCTCTCTCATGGCCTTGTTCAGACTTGGCCTCTTACTAGTGTTACAGGAAACCTGGTGTGTTAGCAGAGCATTGGGCTTTGGACCCTCACAAAGGGAGTTCAAGTTCCAGCTCTGACACTTATGTGCTGTGTGACCTTAGGCAAGTCCCTTAACCTCTCTGAGCCTCAATATGTTCATCTGTAAAAGGCAGATGATACCTACCCAATAAATAGTTGAGAGATTGAGAGGGTGGGTGTTGGGATCCTTGCACATGACAGCCACCCAGTCAAGCTCTATTATTTATGCCTGGACCTGTTTTCCTAGCTAAGTTGTGACCCCATTTGGGCCAGGGTGCAGGTCCAATGCAGTGCTGCATCCCTATAGCACTTAGCACAGGGCCTTACACCACAGATGCCCAGGAATGCTGGCAGGAGTGCGTTCACCCGGGTGCTGGGAGTAGGGGTGAAGGAATGATGAGATCCTGAGCTAAGGAGGCCATGGTGGGCGGGGGGTGGTGAGTGCAGAATCCAGCCTGGAGATCCATGCCAGGAGATGAATGTGGAGGGAGGGACCAGAGCCTGAAACAGAGCTGCCGATATGCACTAGGGGTTTTATTGGTTTTCATTAAAATTCCTTCCCGAGGCAGCAGCAGCTACTCCCATAAATAACAGCATAAATATTTTATCTGGTGCCCAAGTCAGTCTAAATGCCTGGTGAGGTTGGCAAGAATAACAGTGGGAAAATCGTTCAGGGGGGTCCTGGGCTGCGGTTGAACTCCATCAACAAGCCCAAAAGGGCTTTCTCGGGAAGGAAGGAAGCTGAGGGGTGGCGCCAAAGGGGGGAGAAGTCAGTGGACAGTGGGGGAGAGAGATGGTGACCAGTGATGGGTGGGCACTGGAATGGGGGGATCCCAGGGCACAGGTCGGGGACCCAGGGAGAGGGGAGCCTAGCTTGGAAAGCAAGATGGAGGGCAGAAGTGTATTCCCCTCCTGCCCCGTGATGGGCACCTTACGGAGGGCATTCGCACGGGTTATCTCATCGAAACCTGTACAGAGAAGTGAGGTGATTCGCCCCAGGTTACCTGGCCACCAGTGGCATATCCGGGACCACAACAGAGGCGTACCTCCTGCTTCTTGGGGTTCAGGGCAAGTGTGGGAATCTGTGAACAATGGCCTGTGGGCCTCAGTAACAGCACCACGGGCCATCCTCTGCTTTCCTAGATCCCCATGGAGGAGAAAAGGGGCTGGTACTTCACCATGACAACGCTCTTCATCAGGTCAGGCTGGGGAGCCAGGGACTGGACAGCGGGAGGGTGACATGTGGCCTGGGATCCAGGGAAGAGGTGGCTGAGTCCATTTCCGTGGCAAGGGCTCCCCAAGTTCCCCTCCATGCCACTAACCTGGGGAATGCTCACAGCACCCTGGGGACAGCTGAGATGGGTGCCAGCCACCCACATCCCCTTCTTGGCCACAGGCTAGATGGCATCTTCCTGGAACTGGGCAGCGAGGAGCAGAAGAGGCTGTCCGCCTTCAACCGCACCCTGGCCCTGCTCCGGCAGGTGCTCAAGTCCTCGAACCCCCACCACCAAGGTAGGGCTTCCTGGCTCCCCCTTTACCTGTCGTCAGCCTTGCCTGTCATTGTCCCCACCTCTAGCATCGTTTTCCTTTTTGGGACACCCTGTCTCTCTCTCTCTCACCCTCTGTCCCATATACTCATTCATTCATCTCACAGAATGCAGGCACCTTCCCACCGAACACAGGCACCTTGCACCTTGCTCAGTGATTTCATGCCACGGACCCTTCCTCTTCGTAGGCCCCCTCCCTTTCTCCACCCCGCTGCTTCCTAGACACCCTCTCCCACACTTCACCCCCAGCTCTAGCCTGGTGTTACCTCGGGATGCTGCTGGAGAGGAAGGACACCTTCTCCACCACCCCCATGGGTGTCCACGACTGCGGGTACTCGGGAACGGACCCCCTGGACTGCTTTGGCAAGGTATGTCCCCTGGCCACACCCACTCTCCAAACTGGGATGGAGCGTGATTCCCCAGCCTCTGCTCCTGGAACCCGCTGCTTCTCTGGGTGTGTCCCACCACCCCAAGTGCGTGACCTGGCTCTCCCTCCTCTCTTCATTTAAAACAACAGTGATAATTTGTCATCGTTCCTCTTTGCTAAAGAATCAGAACCTCTCCACACCCAGTCCCCGAGCCTGCTTCTCCAGCCATCTTCTAAGCTCTTCACCATGTCTCAGATATACCCAGACTTCTCCCTTTCAGGCCAAGGTTCTCACTGTCCCTCCCCACCCCCAGTGACATAGTGGAAAGTAGATGGGCTTAGCTGGGATCTTGTGCCAGCACTGCCCACGGGCCATGGGACCCTATGCAAGTCACTTCCATCTCTGAACCTCATTATGTGTTAATGATGTCGTCTACCTTCTAGGTCATTGAGAGACTCAGAAGAAGTCGTGCTTGAAAGAGTTCACTGTAAACTGTAAAGTGCTGTTCAAGTCTTGTTCTTGGGCACCTTGCTTATGTGGTAGTTCCCACACTTAGCTCAGTTTTGAAGTCTTTCCTGAAGGCCGGGCACGCTGTGATATCCATTGACCTGTGCACTCAGCACAGTGCCCCGCATGGGGCCCATCCCTCATATTTGCTGGTGGGTAGATTAATGAGCAGGTCCTTGATGAGAGATCTTAAAACAGAATAGAAGTGCTGGTTCATGAGGATTCTGAGAGTTGTGTCTAATTTAACAAACACGATACCTTCGCCCCTCCTTAAGATCCTATCCCATGCCCCGGCACAGAGATGAGTCCCTGCAGGAGTTCACTATCCTGGAGGCAGAAACACACAGGACAGGCAGTGGTCAGTAACAGTAGAGAGAGGAGATGCTACGGCCCCGATAGAAACACTGCTATAGAAGTATGGGGGAGGTAAAAGGCTGATTCTGACCCTCCTTCCAACAGCCCTGGGAAACTGGGCGAGCATACACTGGGTGTGTCCGAGGAAGAGAGGTTTGCCTGGGGTATGGAGGGATTCACTGGACAGGACACATGAACATGGCAGAGAGCATGGGAGTTGGGCTCTTGGAAGTTGAGTGCCAGTGAGTTGTACGCTAAAGTGTTGGGTTCCATGGTATGTCCAAACTTACTGGCAGGTGGATTTAGGGAATCAGAGCATTGCAGTGACATGGCCCTATCCAGAGATGGGAGATCTACAGGTCAGGCAAATAACCCAAATAGTTTTCTCTTACCCTCTCTCCCTTCCCTAGGCCATTGAGACAGCCAAGGACCACCCCACCATCCTGAATCGCCTGGCCAAAATCTTCCACTTCCTAGGAAAGCAGGATATGGCCATTGGAACCTGCAACATGGCTCTGGATAGCCTACGAGATCCAGAGCTCAACTGGCAGGCGTACTGCACTAGGGCCAATGTGAGTCAGCCTGCAGGCTCCGCCTCGCCCTGCCACCAGGAATCAGAGAACACAGGCCAGGGGTTAAGACTGTGTTGCCAGAGCCCAAAGGTCACAGAGTGAGCCTTCACGGAGGAAAGGAGCTTAGGAGTCATGGAGACAAAAGTTTTGTGTTCTGTAAGGTTGCTGAGTGAAAGAATGAAGGAGACTCCCACCTGCCACAGGCACCCCGCTACAACCACCGGTCAATGACCTCCAGCCTCTACTCGGTCAGCACTCTGTACAGACTGACTGACCTTGGTTGAAATCTGGCCCCTCAAGCTATTACTCTGGGACTGGGGACAAGTCACTTCTCAAAAACCCCATTCCCTGAACTGTAAGGTATGGGTCATGACTTCGGGCTGGAATGCTCTTCTCCCTGATTGGTTTCCTTCCTTGATTCCTGGAGGTCTTGAAGAAAGGAAGCTTCTAGCACCATCTTACCAAAAATGTCAACCTCTCGCCAACATTTTATGTCCTCTTTTCTTGGTTTATTTTTTCTTCTTAGTGCTTATTACTCCCCAACATACTATTCATTTACCATGCATATTGTCTTTCTCTCTCCCACACTAAATATATGCTCCGTGGGGGCAGGGGATGTTGTCATTTTACTCTCTACTGCATCCTGGGTGCCTGGAACAGTGCTAGCACATAATAGGCTCTCGATCAATATTTGTGGAATGAATGAAGGCATGAACTGAGCACCTAGCATAGGCTAGATCTTGGCTAGAGTATGTTCTCTCAGTCATCATGGGCACTCTCCAAGGAAGAGAGCAGCGTACTAATTTTTCAGATGTGGAAAATAAGGCTCACAGAGGTTGAACAGCATCCTCCCCAGATCACATGCTATTAAGGGGAGCAGAGAGGGGCTGGAATTCTGCCAAGTCCAACTGGCTCCAAAGCCAGAGCTCCCCCCTCCCCCACCTTATGATGCTCTCTTGGAACCAGAGCCCACCCAGTTGGCTATAGAGCATTAAGACCTTCGGCAACAATGACCCCTTTTACCTATTTCCTCCTTCTCATGCCTCCCCTTCTGAACCTCTAGATTTTTTTAATGCTCCAAGTATGGGGGGAAAGGAGGTGTGGGGATGAAGGTAAGAGTCTGGAATCATTTATAATTTGATGCTTGTACGTTGGGGCCACCTTCCATTCCTTCTAAATTGCTTATGTGGACTCTCACAAAATCGGTGCTGCCATCCTATCTAGAATAGCCCCCTCCCCGAGACCCCTCTAGCCCACCACCCTGTTTATTTTTTCATAGCCACTTGTCACCACTGCATGCCCAGTATCTAGCACTGGGCCTGGCATAGGGTGGGCACTCAATACATATTTGCTAAATGAATGAGGGGCTCTTAACTTCATCCAACTCCCTCATTATACAGACAGGGAAACTAAGGCCCACAAAAGGTGTCATTAGCACTGCTGGCACAGAGCTAGGACCTAGAACTCTGGGGTCCCAGTCTCAGGGGCCTTCTCCACCACAGAACTTCCCTGAGTTGCTGTGGAGAAAAAGACCGGCGTCATTTAAGGTAGAAGGGAGGGCAGAAGCCCTTGCTTGGAGCATCAACCCTGAACTAACTCTCTACGGCAGATCCACCTCAGAGCCTACCTTCACGACCTGGAGCGAGCCAAGATGGGGCTCGGGGGCATGCCTGACAGGGACCACCTGTCCTGTGCCAAGGCTGACCTGGAGGAAGTGGTCAAGGTGTGCCCAAGCCTCAACACCTACCTGGACATCGGCCAGGTAAGGCAGCCTCTTGGCTTGAGTACCCAGTGGCTTACTAAAAACCCATTTACTCTCTACCAAGGCAGGCCTGGGCACTGAGGACACAGGGAGAAATACAGCTGTCCACCCCCCACCACCCGATACCCTGCCCACCTCCTACAGCCATGGTGAGGATTATAGGAGAAGATGCACATACAGCATTTAGAACAGGGCCAGGCTCTTTCTAAAGCACTCAGGAAGTGAGGGCTATTAGTCTTTATCCAAAAGTGCCTTCTGGGCGCAAGGAAATGATTACCAAGAGGTGACAATATCATAATTTTACATGCGATAAGACCGAGGCCCAGAGAGTAGCTGGCTCAAGATTATATGGCCAAGAGTGGTGAGGCTGGCACTGGAATCGCTATGTCTTCTCCTTTTCCCAGGGCGGGACCAACATTTGCCGAGAACTGTTGGAGGGAGGGTGGGAACGTCCAAGTGGAATTTTTTTTTTGAAAGCAAGTATGCGAGCGGAATGCCCAGGGAGAAAGGCTCACCGCTCCCCGCCCCACTCCCCGCCCAGGTCTACTACTACATGGGTGTGGATGCTGTGCAGGAGCTGCTGGCAGTGGACGAGGCGGCGCTGAACCAGGCGCTGGTCTTCTTGGCCAAGGCCGGTGAGTCAGAGCTGGGCGCCACGCTGCCCGAGCTGCAGCTGCTGCGCGGCAAGTGCCTGCGCATCAAGGGCGAGGAGGCCAACGCGGCGGCCTGCTTCAAGCGCGCGGTGGAGCTGGACGACACGGGCTCCAGCCACACCGAGGGCTTCGGCTGCCTGCTCGAGGCGCTGCTGGCGCAGTGGAGGCAGGCGCAGCTGAGCGACGCCGAGCTGGGCCGCGACGTGGACGCGTGGCTGCGCCGCGCCCAGGGCAAGTACCCCGCGGCGCGCCTGCGCCAGGAGCTGCAGCGCGTGTGGCGCGGCCACACGGGCGAGGTGCTGGGACTGGCCCGGGCCTTGGTGGCCCAGGGACGGCCGGCGCTGGTGCGGCTGCTCTTCGAGACCATGGAGCAGGACGGCGACGTCGGGAATGGGGGCCGCCAAGCCTTCTCCCTCTAAAGGGCGACGAAGCCCCGCCCCACCTACAGCTGACTGGACGCTCAAAACGGACCTGCCCTGCCATAGGCTGGCTGGTGAGCAGAGCCAATTAGATCCTCTTCCGGGAATTGGGATGTTGGGACCCGGCGATGAGACGCGAGGGTCGGGTGGCATCCCCCCCCACCCCACACACACCCGAGCTACAAAGGCAGGGAAGGTTGGGGCAGACGCGAGAGGCCACTGGGAAGCTGCCATATGAAGCACTGAATTGTACAAACACGCAGGAAAAGTAAGATGGATACAAGATACAGAAGGTAACTGTCTCCGTTTTGGCGGCTTTTTAGTCCCAGTGCGCAATCCTTGATACCTGAGATCCTGTCTTGGGATTGCTGTGAACCACATTCTACCCTTATAATAAAGCCGCCTTTACACAAATTGATTGGAGTGGGTCTCCAGGTCCCACAGACAGAAAAGCCATTCCAGAGCAGAGGGCAAAGCTGAACGGTGAGCAGGTAAGGGCAAGACAGCCTACACGTGGCCGCGCAGGCCTTTTGCCCACCTGCCTAGCAGTCTTCCAGCAGTCCTCATCTTTGGCCAGCTTGGTCTGAAAGGCCCTTAGACTTCCTGACCTAAAGCCCATCCAGTAGAATCTTTGCTTCATTTCTCCGTTCTTAGGAGAACTTAGGGTTCCCCTCCCCACCCATCAGCAAGTGCTACCTGCACCTGGTCGTGAACCTTCCGCAAAAGAGTGAAAAAAGTCTTGGAATTTTACACTCGTGAACTCGTAGTCATAGAGTTCTAGATATGGAACTTTATTGTCAAAGACAGGCTCTAATCACCAGTGAATCTTAGAAACACCAAGTTGGATTCTTGCAGCCCTACCTACAAGAGCCAATTTAACCTAAAATTCCAGATGAAGATCTTGCCAGACTCTGGGAATGCTGTTTGTTCATACCTGCGATGGCAGGACCCCCATAATGGTTTATGATTTATTTTTCATTTTTTCCCCTTTCTTTGGAGAGTTAATACCGATTGCTTTGCTCCTATCCCTGACCCTCAAACTTTACCAGGGAAAGGCCAGCACCCCTGCATTGCTTCTCATGTCTCCAGTGACAGATGGAGAACAGACTGAGAAGTGAAGTCCTTAGAGATCATGCACTCCAATCCCATTAGATGAGAATCCTGAGACCTCCTAGAAGGGGATGGCTTGCCCAAAGTCCCACCGCCCAGCCTCCCACCACTGTACTTCAGACTTGCTGTCAGCATGTTACAGGTTTGGAAAAATACTAATAAACTGATTAATGCTAAAGCATTAAGGGTTTATATGTTAAGGGTTTTTGTGTCACCCAACACGTGGGGGCACAGTGATATCCATCAGGATAATGCTCTAACACCAAAAGTGAAATCTGTGACGTCTGGGCAGTGAGACCACCCCAAAGCCCCCAAATTCCATCTCACGGCTCACCATGGCTCACTGCTGTGGGTGGTGACCTCTCTCTCCTTCCTTCCTCTTACCCCCACTGCAGCAGAGTGCGGCAGCTGACTCCACAGCCCTGTCCCCTCCTCCCCCACGTCCTTCAAACCCCACAACTGTGACCTGTACCCTTCCCTAGGCCAGAAAAGCAACTCTTTCTGCTCACACTTCCCCAAACAAACTGAATTCAAGGCAGTTTGCTGCGAAAATTGGGAAGCTGGTGAACTTTGTCTATGTCCCCAGGCTCCCCAGTGTGCTGCTTTGCCTTACTTTACCTGTCCGCCAGTTTGTGTATTTCTCCCTCCATTGCCTCCTACTCCTATTGAACCTTTCCAGTAAACTCTTTCTGACAATCTCATCCATAACTAACTGTATAATTAACCAACATACACACGCTAGAGTTTCTTTCAGGGGTATCTGCATACCGGCCAAAAGACAGAGAAAGGAAACCCCATTTTCAGGACCATCTCCTATGTGCAAGGCAATTCATACATGTAAGCTCACTCAATACCTCATGAGCCCTGAAAAGTAGGCACTATAATCCTCACTTTCCAGATGAAGACACTGAGCCACTGAACAAGGTCACAGATAAATATGGGAAGGGCCAGGATTTGGACCAGACCTTCCTCGAAGATCTGTCATCTGTGGTCTAGAGGTAGGCCTGTGATCAACTCATCCCTTCATTTTACCCCTGCTCCCTCCCCACCGGGTACTGGTCTCCCTGCCCAAAGGGCCTTACCTCTGTGCCTTTGTATGTGCTATTCCTCTGCTGGCTCTTTTTCCTGTAATTTCTGTCCCAAGTGCTTGCCTCAGAAGTGTCTCCTCCAGGGAATCTTGTCAAATCCTTCCAGTTGTCATTATTCACTCTCTTCTATGCAAGGAGTGCTCTCAGGGCATTGCGATCCACTGTGTTACATTTATTCTCCTCTCCCTGGGTCATAAGTCAGCTCTGGAATTTTTACAGCAGGAACCACATCTGATTCAGCCCTATGGCCCTGCTCTTAGCTTGGCACACAAGATATGCTCAGGTTTGTTGTTGAGCTGAGTAAACTCACCGCGGTGATAGGACCACCTCAGTCCCAAATGGATGACTCCATCACCACCAGGGGCGCAAGGGCTGAGGTTGGGGCCAGGTCTGCAGCTCAAAGACCTGGGAGGCTTGGAGCTCAACCAGAAAGCTCCAGCTTTCTCTCCACCTCCTCTCCACCTTCTCCCAATCCCCAGTTCTGTGACTGGGAAACCGAGGCAAGAGAGCAGGACTTGGGCATGGTCGAGCAACAAACTGATGACAGATACACACTTGAACCCCACCCCCAGACCTGTCGGCCAGTGCTCTCTCTCCTTTCAGTGCTGTATCCTCTGCCAAGTTTACTTGCAGTAAATCCAGGAAGACTACAGGTTTTCTATTCATTCACTCAGCAAATACTTACCAGGCACTGGCCAAACGCCAAGAATAGTGCCAAGCTCTGGGGCCACAGTGGAGACGAAAATAGGCCCTTGCTTTCAGGGAGCTCACAGTCTCGGCCAGGCAGAGCAGGTGGCCTTGTGGGCCACATTGGGGACATTGGAAGACAAACGGAAAGCTATCAAAGGTTTTGGCAGCGCTGGCTGCCCATCCCCCACCACACCAGTCATACTCATCCTGTGTTAGTGGCCTTTCCCCACTTCCCTGGCTGTTGGATTCCCTGACCCTTGGCTCCACCTGTTCAGCAAGTCACTGCCAGGTGTGGAAGCCCCCAGGAGGATGCTAACGGGAGGCTGATCTTGATTTGACTACAGCTTTGAGCCCTGCAGGACACCTCTGTCCACTAGGTGGCCATGAGGACAACTGTCTGTCATATCGCTGAAGCAGCAGGAGCTCCTTGGGGGGGGTATTGGAGACTAAGAGCTTTAATGACCCCATCATCGGAGTAATGAAGATGAATCCCACTGGTGCTGCTTGCCCACTCCTTCCTCTGGGTCCAGCAGCCAACATCAGGCAGCTGGAAACTCCCGCTTAGCCTGCGTGAGGAAAGCACATTAAAGATCGTGAAAACAGATAAGATTTTTCAATGACGGGTTTCTAGAATCTCAGTGTTGGAAAGAACATTAGCCGTCACTTCGTCCAGCCTCTCCTTCTAGATCAGAACTCCTCTCATCAGTGAGCATTCTTGAAGGAGTGTTTAAACCGTGTGCATGCCCCTGGAAGACAGGCATCTCACTGCCTATTGAGGGAATCATTCCATTTTTCAGCAGATCTTTAGTTTGCGGAGTATGTCCTGCTATTGAGTTGAGATGTTCTTTTCTGGGGCACCTGGGTGGCTCAGCCCGTTAAGCATCTGCCTTCAGCTCAGGTCATGATCCTGGGGTCCAGGGATCGAGTCCCACATCAGGCTCCCTGCTCAGCCGGAGTCTGCTTCTCCCTCTGCCTCTCTCCACCCTGTCCCCTGACCAATTGTGCTCTCTCTTGCTGTCTCTTGTCTGTCTCTCTCAAATAAACAAAATCTTTAGAGAGAAAAAGGAAGGAAGGATTTTATTACTACTGCCACTATCAGGTTCATCTCAGGGCCACAAGGAGCATACCCTAATAAAGAAGGTGAACTTGAACGAGTCACTTTGGTCTGGCTACTCTGCCAGTGGGCGGGCTGAGCTGTGACCCAGCCCTCATCTGCTGGCCCCCATCTGAGAGCCTGTGCAGAGTGGGTGCTGGCAGCTGAAAGCTGAGCAGAACTGAGCTCCTCCTCATCCCTAATCAGGCCCCAAGGGAGCACCCTGTGTGGATGGTGGTGGCTAGATGCCAAATGAAGTGAAATATCTCCTTTTCTCAGGCTGTTAACTTTTTTTCTTGTTTAAGGAAGGGGAGGATAATGACATTTAGCACTTTACAACTCAGCAGTAAAATGAGCAGATGGAAACAGATCCCCAGCATCGCGGGCGTGCTTCCAGGGAGAAACCCTCTCCGCTCCGGCTCGGGCTGGGCTCTGTGGGGCCAGTTCAGCGGCAAGGCTTGCTGATGGACCAAGTGTGTACCCGAACAGCCAGCTCCTTCCTGCCCCAGCTCCTCCCTACTCCAGGCTGCCCATGGGTGAGCCATGGCAGGCTCACCCTGTTCTACCTACTTGGGGCACCTTTCCCATCTCTCCAGTGTTGTGTGGAGGAGGAGGGGGCACAGAGGTGAGCAAAAACTCCTCTGGAGAGGTGGAAATGCTCCACCTGGCCTTTAGGTGGCCACAGAAGAACAATTTGACTGAGCTGGGGAAGTTCCACCTGCAAGTCAAAGAAAGTCATTGTTGTCATCGCCATCGAAACGACTTAATGAGAATTTGTTATGGGCCATTCTGGCACACATCTCACACACCTCGCCCCATTTAATCCCCATAAGCCCATTAGCTGTGTATCAGCACTGTCTCCATTTTACAGATGAGGAAACTGAGGCTCCCGGAGGGGAGATGATTTTCCTGAGGTCCCTCCACACTCCTTGGAATGTAGGCAGGGTGAAGAGTACTAACAAATGGTTCTTTAACTATTTGGAGTCTAGATTACTCTCTCCTCTATCACATATGTTGCTCTATAAACTGAACACTTAAAAAATCTGAACGTGTTTTTCATGTTTGTGTTTCCAAAAATAGTCAATAGCTCTGTGACGGGGCTTGTTCTATTTTGGTGTGTAAATTGTGTCATTAAACTGCAGCTTCTCTGTGAGTTTT